ATATATATGTATACAATAAAGGACCATCCCATGCCGACTGTAATAAAGCGCACAACGATTTGCTCGAGTTACAACCACCTGATACATGAACTTTCGACTCATGCCCCACCCACTGATCTCCGGCCCTCTGGGCTTAGCTACCAATAACCAAATATGGTGATTAAATCTGAACCGCGCCAGGAACCAACCACAACCAAGGGAAGTAATCAGGACTGTTTTCTTAGGGATGGACTTTAAATAGTTTTAGTGCTTCCTTCTTCCGGGATTCTGTATATGAATATTCACAGTACTGTACATGCCGCTAGTTTGTAGAGAAAAAATACATTTTGGTATTTGACGAGTGATCAGTATATTTTATCTACCTTTCTTGGTGAATGCACACAACTTCCAAAACTAGTCATAGTTATTGTTTACATTTACAATCTAATCTTGACGATTCACACCACCATGGGTGCATGGGCGTGTCTCCATAGAGGATGGTCCCTTTAAACGCCTACCTCTGCTCGGAAGCTTACTGTCGATCAAAAGATCAAACTTAAAACTATCTGAGACCACAGACTCGCAGCTAAAAAATATTATTCATTTTGGTTATTTTATTATTTTCGAAACAATTAAAATTAATAATAATTGTATGTATATAATCATATATAGCCTATGTGTGTGAACGTATTATACAATAGGGTGTATATATAGTGTATATATATATATATTATATATATATATATATATATTATATATATATATAATAAACGAAAATTCATATATAATATAAATCAAGATAGCCGTTTAACACTGTTAAATTACAGTATATATAAATGATGCTATGCTATACTATACGATGTATTATGTCCTTTATTTGCATACTGTATTTACCTTTCGTATGCACCTCCGATCATTTGGAGTGTATGTGTACATATTTTTATTTTTTTTTAAATTCAGATGTGTGATTTTTAAAAGCATATTCCGTCTTGATGTTAAGAGTATTTTAAGTTAATAATAGTATGTGATCCATTCCGCCTACTGTCCTCTGTTACTTTTTACCTTATGAATATCTATTATTTTTAACTGAAGTGAACACACTGTCATATTGTTTTGATGAGTGACTGACAAATAAGTGGACATTATTAATTGATAAATAAAGGCTGGCCTCAATAAATGACGTTACGGCAGCATAGCCAACGTCAGTAAAATAGGCCCGTCTTTGGCTGGGCATACTTTCCCTGATTGAAGATGTTCACGTAAGAGTCACGTGCTCTTACGTGATTTATGGGTTGGGCTACCACATCTGAACATGGAGGTATCCGAGATCAAATGGGTTACAATTTAACGTTCGAGACGGTGAATGGATCACAAATCAGTATCTTCACATACGTATACTGTATATTGAGTAAATAATCGATTTCTTTCGTCTATGCAATAATCCATGCAAACAGAAGAATGAGAAATGGGCACGAAAAAAATCAGCACCGATTGTATTATTTCAAGAGATTATCTGTGAGAATTAGGTCAAATAATGGCGGAATACCCCCTCTGAGCCACCTTTCATTACTTCAATTATTTGCTTGTGAAAAACGTGGTCATATTGAGGCCATCTTGTGTATTGACCTTCAAAAATATTGTTTAATAAATTTTTATCCAATGCGTGGACAAATAAAACCCGGAAACTAATTCCGAGCTCCAGAAAACAGAATTCTGACTTGCATAAGAACAAGGATAAAAACTTGGCTTTGGAAGATCGAATTATTTTGTTAGGAGATTAATATGAATTCAGTATATAAATTATCTATATGAATTATTTAAAACTTTCAATTGTTCGACATCGCGATTAATGACTTCGCTTACGTGTACAAAATATTGTTTGTCATAGTTGTCGAGGTCCCTAGTTATAATTCTATACCAAGTACAGCATTTCATGCGTCTATGCCAGACCCCTTGTATATCGGGGCACTAAGCGCATTGTTCTAAATCGAGATTGGTCTTTGCTTGTAGACCTGCCAATAACAATGCCTTTTGATTATATACTGTACTGTACCTCTATGGTTTGACTAATCACAATAAGCAACTCAATCAAAGAACAACTTCAAATGATGCGAGACTAGAGTTTTAGAAGCCTTTGTTCATGATGACTGAAGCATGGGACGAAGGGGAGACCGGAACAAGAGCTTTTTTCAAAATTATTGTAAAAAGGAAGTCGATATTAAAGATGTTATAACTATTAATGAATAAACGAACGACTATAAGTTTTCATTCAATGCTCCCATAAGTGCTGCAGTACGAGGCAGAACTGTGCCGAGAGTGAAGATACCTCCCTCCCTTGCAAAGATAAAAGGTTCACGATTCTAATATATATTTTTTAATAAAGGAAATAACAGTGCAGTACATTTACAAAAACATTAAAAATTGTATAAAAATACATTCCAGACACATAGCTGATGCTAGAAATTAAAGAGTATTATTTAAACGTCCATTAATTTTCAACAAACAATTAAAATACATTTTTTCAGTTTAAGTCAGTTGACAAATATAGATACAAAATATGAAAATAATGTAATTCATTTTCAAGTTTGTAGATAACAGTAGGGCTAAATATTGTAAGTTCAATACCGAACGCGGTGATAAATAATGCAGTAGTTTGATTTGAATTCTATTGGAAGCAATACCAAAATATGACAAGAAAATATTTATATAGGCCTCCAATCAAGAACTTTTATCTTTACAGCCAAAAAGATAGGCCTCTACAGTCATTGAGCCTACAGGTTATATAGTATATAAGGATGTACTGTATATTCAATAAAGAATACTCTAATTTAAAACAAATAGTTCTGGTTAGCAATCTAGATGTAGCATTAAACGGGTTTTATACTTTCATGGCTGGCATGCAGGTATATTCTTTACGGGAGTTTCTCCCGGTCCGTGCCCCTCCCCTTTTCGTTATGCCATTCATATAAAATCATGCACTTAACCATTATTATGACAGGTAAGTGCACAAGTTAGCAGGCAACACAATGTATGTACACACCATCTACATTCTTGTGTTCCATGTACATTTGGTATCTTCGTTATTTATTCTATTTAATAAAAGGATATAAGCCTACTAAAAACCTAAAATACATCTGTTTCAAACCGGGAAATAGTTTAAATTATTTCTTAGAATTTACTTCCTGGACTTGTTTATGACAGGTCATGTCAGAAGTGTGTCAAAGGTTGTTGATCACTTCCTGGTTGCTTAACAATTTTGTTGCATTCCGTCCTTTAAGTACGGTGACGAACATAACTCCACTGCAAATGAAACTTTTTAAAGATTCACGAAGAATAATTAATACATATTTAAAAATTAAATGAAATTAGAATTTTCTGTAAATTTTAACATTACAAATTTTAATTAACATTGATAGAGATGTGTACAGTGTAAACCTAAAATAGGCCATCGAGTTATAATTTATATTTTGATACCTTCATGAATAGGTCTAGGCCTAGTAAAATGACAGTAGGCCTATACCAACTAGCCACCTGGTGCACAAAGTACATGGACGGCGGTATTCATGGTTTAAAAAATTGATCAGAATTCTTTCGGAAGCAATACAAAATAAATGGACAAGATATAGGCCTAGAAGAGCAAATTTCAACTCGAAGTTGGGTCGCTTACCATACACAAAGCTTTACCGTTCTTTTAAATACCTGTACCATAATTTATATGAAATAGGCCTATATAAAAATGGGACCTTACAGGCTATACGTTTATATATACTGTACTATACTGGCAAACATTGCGTAGCATTGCTTTTAATAACGCCAGAGCAAAGCTGCCTACAAAATGTATGGAAAACACATCAAATCCAACAACAGAGCCCTGCCCTAGGCCTATCATGAACGGAACTAGAAATAACGTTTATTGTCGGCCATGAAGCAGCTCTGTTAAGCCTTACACGAGGCTATACTGTAAGCACTTCAACCTTCCTTTTGAATGAAATCACAACAATATGGGTCTCCTGTACAGGTAAAGAAAGTATACAAATTAAAACCTCGCCAGGCCTAGAGAGTTGTAAGGGTGATTAAAATCAAAGAACGGCGTCATCTGGGCAATTTGTGCCGCCAGTAATGAAATAAAACAAAATAAAAAATCAGGACTCGTACTATTACTAGTGAATATAATACACAAAACAATGTATAATGAACATAATGTATTCGACCAGGCTTACGAAACATTAGCACTGGGCTGGGGGTTTGTTTTGAGTAAAAATACTAATAGGGCAGTGTTGTAGGCACCGTACACTATGGGTGCACAAAAACGAATCATTTTAGTATGAAGATATTACTCTACAGGCAGTACCTTTTTGGTTCCAGGATCATGGGAATTTGCAAAATTACGTTTACATGAACGGTGGTTCATGCTTATTATTAATATCCCATCAATTGTAGGCCTAATTATTATGCCCCTGTTGTGATACATGGCGTTTCTGCACATTTCACCAATTTAACGCTGTCTATTGCTGCTATGATATACCTGTAGTAGTACTAAGAGGTAGACAGTTCCACGGTTCCATCTATACACAGCCATGAAATTAGTATGCGGCTACACACCCACCACAAGGCATATCGTAATAGCTAAATTATTTTTTACCTTACACGCCTTATTTCTCAGTCCTTAAAAATTAAATATTATAACTTTGGTACACATAAATGCTTGTACAGTACATGCCAAATAAAAGAATTTCACGTGGTGTAAGTGGGCGTGTTTATTCGCCCGGTATGAAAGGTCGTCGACTGCAAAATGATTAAGGTTAATGTTATGCTAATGAATCGACAAGTGTTACTTTCGTGACCATATAAGGAAATGTCTCTTGCAGCATGCGTTGCTTGAAAGCCGGGTTTTCTCACAGGTGGCATCATTCGATCGCTGAGTTTCTCAACTGACGGACCAGTTTGCACATCTCTTTTTCGGTAAGCAGTCACACCCTTGATTTTTCTTTGGATGATTTCTAATGTGAGCTTCATATTAGGTCTAAATGATTTAAATCAATTCATAGTAGTACACAGTAGAAGCAGGCTACGACGATTCACTATGAATCAAGTTTAAGTTCGTGCTTAACAGATTGGTGCAGGTTTTTATAACACGCCCGCCGCTGTGCGAGCTACGCTTCACTGTACAAGGGAAGTAACTGCAATTTTTTATGCTAGATTTTACCAGCTAAATTATTTAGTTCTATATCCTTATTTTTAATTTGCAGTCTTAAATTTAGCAAGTACTACACAAATCATTCAAAATGTGTGACGATGATGTTGCCGCTCTTGTAATTGATAATGGATCCGGTATGTGCAAAGCCGGTTTCGCCGGAGACGACGCCCCAAGAGCCGTGTTTCCCTCCATCGTCGGAAGACCCCGTCATCAGGTACGTTCTTTGTTGTGTTCAATTATTAAATAGTTTTAAGCTTAATTCTCTACAGTTGCATTGCAAATAGTTAAACCGTTTGGTAATGAAAAATAAATTGCTAGCAACTGAATTTAAAGGAAATCGAGGAAGTCTTACCTGCTCTATCGAGATTTTATATTGTATTGTTTTTTGTATCTTTTATTTTTCTAATACTGATGCAGTACTGTAAAATTGTAACATTGAAGAAAGCTGCTACTGAATAACATAAAATCATAACTAATTGCTGTAATATTTTACTTTTAGGGTGTGATGGTTGGTATGGGACAAAAAGATAGCTATGTTGGTGATGAAGCACAGAGCAAAAGAGGTATCCTCACCCTGAAGTATCCAATTGAGCACGGTATTGTTACAAATTGGGATGATATGGAGAAAATCTGGCATCACACATTTTACAATGAGCTCCGTGTAGCCCCAGAAGAACATCCAGTACTTCTAACAGAAGCTCCCCTCAACCCCAAAGCCAACAGAGAAAAGATGACACAAATTATGTTTGAAACCTTCAACACACCTGCATTCTACGTAGCAATCCAGGCTGTCCTGTCCCTGTATGCCTCCGGCCGTACAACTGGTATTGTCTTTGATGCTGGTGATGGTGTCTCCCACACAGTCCCAATCTACGAGGGTTATGCTCTACCCCACGCCATCCTTCGTCTGGATCTTGCTGGTCGTGACCTCACAGATTACCTCATGAAGATCTTGACAGAACGTGGATACTCATTCACCACAACTGGTAAGCATGATGTTTCTTATCCTGGTTAAATATTGTGTATTTTGCAAAACTAATTTAATTGTATTTCTGCTAGTGCTGTTGGTGAATGACTACAATTATTGCTGATGTTGAATGGTGAATTAATTGAAGGGTATGCAACTATACAATCGCAAATTGAAACTAACCAATCATGCATTATTTTCTATCTTACAGCTGAGCGTGAAATTGTCCGTGACATCAAGGAGAAGCTCTGCTATGTTGCCTTAGATTTTGAACAAGAAATGCAGACTGCTGCTAGCAGCTCATCCCTGGAGAAGAGCTACGAACTTCCAGACGGTCAGGTTATTACCATTGGCAATGAGCGATTCCGATGTGCCGAGGCTCTCTTCCAGCCATCCTTCCTTGGAATGGAATCTGCTGGTATCCATGAAACCACATACAACTCAATCATGAAGTGTGATGTTGATATCCGTAAGGATCTGTACGCAAACACTGTATTGTCTGGAGGTTCAACTATGTTCCCAGGAATTGCCGACAGAATGCAGAAAGAAATCACCGCACTTGCCCCACCAACAATGAAGATCAAGATCATTGCTCCACCAGAGAGGAAATACTCTGTATGGATTGGCGGCTCCATCCTTGCTTCCCTCTCCACCTTCCAACAGATGTGGATCAGCAAGCAGGAATACGATGAATCTGGTCCATCCATTGTCCATCGCAAGTGCTTCTAAGTGGGAAGCAAGTGGACCGCACCAAAGACAACTGTAACATCGTAGAATTTGGCTTGATAACATCAGGGCCTGATCAACAAACCAGTCTTCAGTTATGCAAATGATTGAATAAGAACTGCAGAGTTATCGTCGATAACTATAAATGTATCGGTTAAAATTGGTTGATGTGTTAAAATGGATTAATAAGCACAAAGCCATCAACAGTTTTATAGATTCGATATAACCTCAGGCAATGTGGTTTTGCGACATCCAACCACCATTAAGGCACAATTATGCCTTCATTTATAATAACACATTAATACCATTCCTTTTTAGGCTATTAGAGCATCTCGGTTCATTTCTAACAACTTGCATCTGGGCTTTCAAGCTATCTGAAGGCAATCCTTGTCTGTGTAAATTTAGTTATTAAAAAATTTTGTATACTTGCTAAATAAGACGAAAAAAAATTCAATAATGAGGACCTTATTTTCATTACGTTGCATGGCCCCAAATATATGGTCGTTAGTTTTCTATTTATAAAAAAAGGTAGCAACAAATACTAGCAATTGTCGATCTGTGACTGCATTTCTGTTACTTTGTATATGCAACACCAGAGTTAACAGTGCAATTAAAACGGCACCTTTGGGACCAGAGAAAATTGAAATTTAAACCGTTTTTGTCTATTCTTGTCTGTGTGATGGTGGTTGAATGAATTGAGTTTAACTGAATGCATGCCGTAGCTTGTACTGTACAGTATTGTTACTTTACATCTTTGCAATCGCACGAGCCAGTACTTGACACAAACATCTGTGACTTGATTTACCTACAGAACACTAACAATACATAACAATATATTTAATGAATAAACCAAATATGTTGATGGTGACTTGTGCAACCTATCGACGTATTGGGTTTATTCATTAAAAAATATATTTGACAATACAAAACTAGGTAAAACTACTGTACTGTATTCGATCAACAAAAGCCGAACTTGAATGTTTATAACTGTAAGTGTACAGTACTGCACTACAATACCTTGATTAAGTCTGCATATGCGAAGCGCGCCCTCTTTTTAGCTCTAATATACAAGGGTACCGATTACACACCAGTCTTGAATGACTTCTCGACCGTACTTCACAATTCGAAGTTTAAACATAATTGCTATTAAGCAAGTACTGTACTACAGTATAATTATCAAAGTATATTTAACTGGACAATCGACCTACATCCAAATCTCGGATAACTATAGCTGATGGCTTTGTCTTTGAAGACGTCCGTGAACCGTCAATTAAATTTCAATAAAGTACTGTATAAAAGTGCATCTCGTTACTTACCAATGCTATACCAAATGGGAGGGAAGGATCAACGGTACCCAGGTTTGTATAAATTATCTCCTCGTGTTATGTGCAACGCTGATGACCTGCATGTAACTCCATGGAGGACGGTATAATACCGCCATTCTAATCCCAAACTCATAGATGCCAAGTAAGACCAATTTGCAGGCGGACCTCCCCTAGGGGTGTGCCCCCGCCCCTCCTCCCCCGAAAAATCTGTCCCTAGATGCTCGGAAATACTTTTTTTAGGTTAGTAATGAAACACTTTGGAAACATGGTTTTAAATACAATGTATACAGTGTTAAAATTAATAAATAACACAATGAAGACACAAGCATTTCTTTATAAACGTTTATTTACGATGATGTTGGGACCTATGATAGGCCTACCATACTACGAGAATACATGAAATACGTAACATGGGAACGGGCATGAAAAGCGCCACGCCAATTTTTTTTTTTTTTTTTTTTTTTTTTTTTGTAAGCGCCGCTATTGAATAAGCGCGGCGTCATTTGTTTTGCCTTAGAAAATTTCCGTGAGGGTGCCTTGGCACGGTACGAGTTTTTATCATAAAAAATAATAGAGCGTCGTGGAATCATGGGCATACAGGCAACATTTCAGGCAACATTTTATTGAATGATCTCGTTCTAAGTTTACTAATTTTTTATTTAACGTAGGCCTAATTACTTACTGTAAGAGTAGACATTTGGGTTTTATATTTAGTCTGGAGCCATTGATTAAATAAAAGACGCAATGTAATGTCACTCGCATGATTTCTGTTTAGCCGGCTTCTGTACTCGATCGATAGACGCGGCGAACCCGAGGATGAGTCAGAAATAGAATAATTAAAATTTACAATATCATCAACGAAAATGAACATCGGATGAGTAATAAATTATCAAGAATATTACATGCATTAAACATTTTCTTATCGGTCCATATTTTTGTACTGGATGCCGCGCGTTAAAGTTAAAAATGACGATTATGTTGAAACGCGTGTGGAGTGGATGAGGGCGGTATTTGCGCACGACAATGAAGATTGGTGATGTGGTTTTAAGAAGGTATTCCCCGATAGCCACACGACTGATGTTTTTTACGCATTCATCAATTCAACGTCTACTATTGATTATAATGGCTAAGATTCGAGAAAGGAGTGATGACGTAATATCTATGTCGGCGCTTGCCCGGATATGCCTGGAAATACAGGTATATGCCTGTCTCTTATAC